ATTTTTTATTAATAATAATTTTATTATTGTTATCATTTATTTTGTTATTGTTATTTTTTATTAATATTATCGTTTTATTAGTATCATTAGTGTTGTAATAAATCAGCGAGTGATTGTTTGTGTTATGAACAGATGTCAAAAGCATGGCAGAGTGCCTCTCGAAAGCCACAACGATGGACGAACGTAAGGCGAGAGCGTTATGCGGCCTCAACGGAATGGTCGACTGGGAAGAAGTTAGGCGAGGATGTGCCTGCGGAGAAGATTGAGGACGAACAGACCAGTATCATACCGACGGGTGCGTGTGGAGCGTTGATTACGGCATTGGAAGACGAGTTTATGGGTGAGTTGTGGGGAGATTTCGATTTGTTTATTGAAATGTTTTGTGACGTTTTTAATTTTCGATGACGACAGCAAGTGATTGAATCCGTTTGGACGGAATTTTCTTTTGGACTGATCATTTATACGTCTCGGTGTATCGGTGTTAAATTGAATTCATAACTGAGTTGCTGAATTCATTTTTATCAGCAAAATTATCCTAATACGTATAGTAACAGATAATTAGATAATAGACACAAGCCGGATCATAGCCTGCTGGCTCAGGCTCACAACATTTCCGTTTGATTCGGAGGAAAATTTTGTTCGAAACCGAGTGGTGTACTAATATCAGTAATACGTATAGTTGAGTATGAATATAAAAGTGATTTGAATGTGCAAAGTTGAGTTCGGCTAGGGATTGAGTGGAACAATGTGAATAGGAATAATTTTTGTTGATTTGTTATTAGTTTTATGTTCATTTGTCATTATTGAAGGATTGAATCGTAAAGTTTCAGTGTAAAAGTGAAAAATTTTCAGTTGTTCGTCAAGCGGCAGTTTATTCGCTGGGCAGACTGGCCGCAGATCGATCGTTCCTGGCTGCGGCGGCTATTGATAACCTCTCGGATATGTTCAACGATGAGATCGAACAGGTTACGTGTTTATTTACTGGTTTTTTTTGAGGATCATTTTATTAGTATTATTATTATTATTATTGTTATTATTATTATTATTAGTATTATTGTTATTATTGTTAATGTGTTATTGTTGTTATTATTGTGGTTATTGGTATTGTTATTACCTGAATTATGGGCTAATTTGATACGATTGACATGGATTATTTCGTAAATGTTTTGAGATTTAG